GCCTAAACTATATATATTTTAAAGTTTTTGTAAATCAGACATAAATCAATCTTTCAATTTTACATATATAATACATAATATAAATATAAAACAATATAGCAATTAAAATTAAATTGATCATGGAAAATTGATTGGCATAGTAAAAAAATTTAAGATCAAAAATTTATAGGTAACTATAACGCTTTTATGTTAAATTAATTGAAAATATTAATTATTATTTTGTGTTTCCTGTGAAAAATTACCTATATTTTCTGTAATATTAAGTCAACACCAGGGATTTTTAAAACAATAATTGTAGTATTTATAGATATGACGGTTTTGTGTTGTTTTTAATTTTATGAAATTATAATAGTGTTTTTTTAAAATTTGTACCCAGTTTTTGTTAATAATAAAATAATTGTCATATTGTTATCTAACACTTTTATGCTTCAATAATTTAGTTTGTAATTATAGTGTTTATATTGTGAATATGCTATTGAATATATACTGACATAGTTACCTATTATGTAAATAAAATAACTTATTATAAATGTTTTTTTTATCTGCAAAATATGAAAATGTTACTTGAAATTGCATCAAATACCATAAATTTTGAAGCCCGCCATTTTTTATTTCGCTTTACTTAGTAGTGTTTTACTTTACCGACCGTACCAACGCGCTTAGCGCCCTGCTGTCGAGGTCAAGCAAACTTGTTACCAACTACTTACAGGGGAGATGGCTACCCCGTAAAAACCTTTTACCTTTTTATTCAATCAAAATATAAATGTTAACTATTTTTTTTAGTTAAGAAGTAACGATATCGATTAGTACTTGGATGGGTGACCGTTATGTTTTGAAATTAGATCATTTCAACCTCAGTCTAATAGATTTAAAATCAGCCTTTCATTTACACTTTTCCAACGCCAAATAACTTGGCTGTAAATATTGCAAAAAAAAATCCAAGCGAATCCGTTTTTTTTTTTTTAATAAAAAAAAGCAAAAATAGAACATTCGACGTCCCAAATATCGATTTAGCCGCGACGTCCCTTAATACCTACTTACGACACTATTTCGCAGAAAGATTAGAAGGGCCATATCAAACCCTTAGGGTGGAAAATGTATTACGAGGAAAATGAGGTATATACAACGTTTTCCGACGAGAAGTAGACAGATCAAACGCTATATCAAACTGTAAGTGACTTTGGGAGACTTTTTTATAAGATATTTTATATTTTTATGGTATAATTTCGAAGCGAGAAGTAGACTTTCTAAAAATAAAAACCAGTTACATAAAATTCTATGGAAATTGTTAAATCTGAATGACAATCAATTTAATAGAACATATCACATTATTCTTCTCGATTTCTTGATGTTATTAATTTGATAAATATCGAGCCTAAAAGCAGGAAAACGAATATCCAATTTAAAAAATATAAGGTCTATGTACAGTGCCTTAACGAAGTGTTCTTGAACCCATTACTTTCCGTAAAGGCTGTTCCTTTTATCATGTGTCAACATTGCTATATTCTATACCGCAATAGTTACGAAGATGATTAAAATGAAAAAAGTTAACTATTTTGGAAAAAATTGTAGTAACCCAAAAAATATACAGGGTCTGTTATTATTTTTGAGGTATTTTGTGAAAATCAAAAATGTCAGTATTATATTTTTGAAAAGAAGAGTTACTAAAAAAAAAACCAGAAAAGAAAAAGTTTATTAGATAATAAATTTGTTTATATACAGTATGGTTCAAATGAAAGGAATAAATTCATTATAATGCAAGTAGTTAGTTTTTAGAAAAAATGCTCGGACAGGTCAATTTTGTTTACTAAAAGCGCAATTTTTTAAAAGTAATTCAAGTTTCTCCCACTTCCCATTTTAGTGCAGTGACGTCACTGGCAATTTTTTTAAATAGTATCCCCAATTTTTGTGTCTTGATTTTGAAAGATCTTGCAATTTCCTACGCGAAAACATAATATTTAAAATATCTTATATAAAAATTTTCTACTAAATTAGGTGTTCAAAATGTCCTCTACCGACGTCTTGCCTTTTATTAGTACAATAAGTATTATTATTATTTTTATTCATTAAATACAACCAAATCTATATTAAGTGCTCAAATTGTTGACCCTCAGCTAAAATACAATGGGAAAGACGTGCAGCGATCTCTTCTTGGACGTTCTCCAAAATTTCGGGAGTTATGTTTGCAATCTCAATACGTATCCGTTCTTTGAGATCATTGATATTTTGTAGTCTATTTTGGCACACTTTACTTTTCAAGTATCCCCATAAAAAGAAATCAAGAGGAGTTTAATGGGGTGACCTAGCAGGCCATTCTATTGAACATCTTCGACCTATTCACCGATTTGGGAAGATGTTGTTCAAGAAGTTTCGCACCAAGACGGCATAGTGTGGAAGCGCACCGTCTTGCTGTAGCTACAAATCATTTTTGTTTGGGAACAATCGGTTCAATTCGGGGATCAAGAAATTTTGAAAAAATTCTAAATATCGTGGACCTGTTAAGGTTTCTTTAAAAAAGTATGACCCAATAGTCTTATCTATTATTCCTGCTCAAGTATTCACTTTTTTTGGGTATTGAGTATGATACTCTTGGATCCAGTGTGGATTTTTGTTAGCCCAATACCAAGAAGTCTGACGATTGACATGACCGTTTAGTAAAAATGTAGATTCATTGGAAAAAAAGTATATTTTTAAAAACATTGAATTTCTGTTGTTTTTGTCCATTATAATGTCACAGAATTCAACTCGTTTATCAAAGTCATCTTCTATAAGTTCTTGTACTGAAGTAACTTTGTAGAGATGCCACTTTTGCTTCTTTAGCGTTCTAAGAACTGTTGAATTTCCCAAGTCATTATTTAATGCTACTTGCCGTAAACTGGTAATTAGATTACCTGGGGTGGAGGCCTTATGCTTCACCCTGTAGCCTCTGGAATATATTCTTGAAGTTCTAGTTGAAGCACTGGGTGTATTAAAATAAAACCATCACCCTACATTTGAATTTGATATATTCACTGCTTGGTGCGTTCACATTTAACACATTTACACCTTTTTGTTACATAGAAGTAATATTAAGTTACATATTAACTTTTTATAAAATCAAATCGCACATGCTTGGAATGGTTACCGCGAATGCCGCCTTTTTAAGTTAAAGTTTTTGCGACTTATTGCTTGTTCGACTGAAAAAGCGAAAGTGATTTTAATTTTGTTCTGCCGTGGCTTGTTAACCCGTGCCGGCTTTTTACCTTTCTTCTAATTGGCTATCTTTAATAGCATGTTTTTGCACACGAGACCATTGTTTTTAAGATCTGTCTTATGATTGGGTAAAAAATCTCGCGTGACTAGCTTTAACTGCATTAGAAGCTGCAGGTGTCTTTGAAGGTTACTTGAAAGTTAAAAATGGTGGTTATTGCACAACTTTGGACAATTTTTTTATACAGGGAGTGTCTATTTAGTATTTTATTCTTTTTTATTTGTTAAGTACGGAGGTTTATTGTGTTTTTATGTGTCTGATCTTTAAATGACTTTTATTAAAAAAAAATGTTATGTAAGATATTTCAAATATTATGTTTCCGAGTAAGAAATTGCAAGAAAAAAAAAATTGGGGTTACTATTTAAAAAAATTGTCAATGATGTCATTGCCCAAAAATGGTAAGTGGAGCAAAATTTAATTCTATTTAAAAAATTGCGATTTAAGTAAACAAAATTGACTTGTCCAAGCATTTTTTCGAAAAACCAACTACTTCCATTATAATGAAAGTATTCCTTTCATTTGAACCATACTGTATACATAGCAAAGTTGACACATAATCAAGGAAACACCTTCAGTGACTTGTCAATTTTGGTAAATACGATTTTAATGCCTATTTGTATAATTTATTATTTCAGCTATACAGGGTGGCTCACGCTCAACGGGACGGAGCTTTATGGGAAAACGACCAAAGATATAAAAAATTCGTTTGGGAGGAATACGTAGGTTACAGACGGCTACAATTTAAAATTTGTTAGATGTATACAGGATGTCCCACATAAGAAAAAAAATTAGTTCATTAAAAATTATTCAAACAAGAGTAAACAATTAATTTCTGGGAGACTTTTTTCCTTAAAAATTCAAATAAATCGAAAACTAATAATAATAGTAATAGGAAACCTTTAGTTAACTGACATTATTTTTGATGTAGTTTTTAATTCTAAAATAAAAAACAGGGTGTTCCATTAAAAATAATATAACTTTGTATATTTTCTCTTATGTGGGACATCCTGTATACATATAACAAATTTTAAATTGTAGCCGTCTGTAACCTACGTATTCCTCCCAAACGAATTTTTTATATCTTTGGTCGTTTTCCCATAAAGCTCCGTCCCGTTGATCGTAAAAGGGCCAAACTTTTTTACTTAGATAGACTTAAAGGCAAAGAGATTTAAATATTTTTATATTATATTAAGTTTAAGGGGTAAATGATGCCAATATTTTTAGATGAACAGGCAAAAGGAGTATGTTAGGTTATGTGTGGTGATTATTACATTGCGACCTAAACGATTTAAAGTGTCTCTTCTGTCGCTAATGCAGCAACGAAATAGTCTCCTGTCATTGGTATGCTTCTTAGTATAGTGATCCTGAATTCTGGAGTACTACACATTCAGTTAGAATGTGAATTAACCCTTAAACCGTAATACCGGTCTCTCAGACTTTTACTATAGTTTATTTTGCGTTGTGACAACGTCGCTTCGCCTAGAGATATCCGTTCCATAGTACCTTCAAACATTCAGTTGAGTATGTTTTAGCGGTATGAGAATTTAGTTTCGAGCCGCCTGTTCTGAATAAAGTATTGTTTCTTAAAAACTTGCCGGTACTGCAGACCGGATGTTTCTGTTTGCGATCTAAAATTAGAAGGTATGTACGACCGTATGTTTCTGTTAGTGTACAGAATTATATTTCTGTATAAATTATTTCCTTTCATGGTATGGAAAACACATTTATTTTTTTTTTCTAGAAATTTATAATGGACATTCCAAGCACAAGTAAAGGCAATCCTGCTAAAGCATACCGAAATAAGAGAGTACGTGCGGACGATAAAGATTTCGAAGAAAAAGTTATGAAATGGTATATGGAAAGAGATAGTGAATTCGAAGATGTTGACGATTCTAATAGTGATCCAGATTATATTATGACAGATAAAGGCGATGAAGAGATTGAAGAAGAGACAAATACTAAAAACAATCAAAGAAATAAAAATGTTAGTGAAAATACCTCGGAAAATAGTGATCAGGAATGCGACCTTTTGGAAACAATTCAAGAAATCGTTGCCATGGATAACAATGATGACGTAGAGAACGGGCAATTTTTCATCGAAAAAAATAACAAAATAGATTTTGTATGGAGTAAGCATCCACCACCTGCAACCAGAGGAGTACCAAGTCATAATATAATTAGACAGATAACTGGACTGACGCGGAAGGCTAATAATTTAGGCAATCCAACTATACCTGAAATCTGGAAGTGCCTGTTTGACCAACAAATGATTATTATAAGGATAGACTCATTATTTTCAACAGGTGAGTACCGAAGAAAAACTGAAAAAAAGAAAAGATACAAAATACAGTTAATCCCGGCTTAATTTGATTTTAGGAGAAGAAAAGAAAGTGAAAAGGTCTAGAACTCAGACACACTCTCATCTATACAGGGTGGAAACAAATTAGGCCTTTCCAGGAAAAGAAAAGGTCTACCCCAGGCTGTAACAGGGCATCTAGTGGCAGGAAACACGAAAACCAGGCCTACTACAACGTAGCATCCTGGACCCTCGAAGCAAATGGAGCAGGGAGTCGCACCGAAGGTGTCTAATAAGTCGCATTGACTTAGACAAGTTGCATACCCAAATACTCGAAGTAGATGGAGCAGGGAGTCGCACCAGAGGTGTCTAATAAGTCATCGGAATGAACTTAGACCGGTTGCATACCCAAATGCCTGTCCACGGGTCATATCGACGCTGGTATCTAGATCCCAGAGTTCGCGAGGTAGGTGGGCATATAACCCCTGATTTGCTTAAATCATAAAATACACATTCACGCAGAGAACGTTCATAAAGATAGGAAAGACAAGGTAAGTTACCTTAAAATCGAAGTAATTTTAGCCAGAATTAAACGTAGGGGTACAAAGAGAATAAAATTAATACAAGAAGGTATATAAAAAAGAATATGTCTTAAGGTAAAAATGGGACCGTTACAATTAAAAATCTGAAGAGAAAAGACAAGTTAGTTATAAAATTAAAAAATACTGATGATCAAGATATTACCTAAGAGTTTAAAATTATCAGAAATGATATAAAACATGACGTTGACATAGCATATCATAACTACTGCAATGAAATTGAAAATGGCATCAAATCGGACTCTAAAAGGTTTTGGCAATTTATAAAAATAAAAGACAAACTAATTCCATTCCTACTGTTATGCAATATAATAATCATAAGCTAGCAGATCCTAAAAATATTGCCATCGCTTTTTCGCAATATTTTTATAACTCATTTTCGCAACATTTAATCAAAAACTAATAAAATAATACTTCTGCTGTTAATTTTGTAGATCAATTAAATATTAACCTCTTTTCTGTGGCTCATGTGAGAAACAGTATCATAAAAATTAAACCAAAGGATACAATGGGACCTGATCTCATTCCAGCTTTCCGCCTTCATGATTGTGCATCTGCCTTAGCAGCTCCGCTTGCAATATTATTCAATTTGTGTCTTAAAAATAATTACTTCCCTGAATGCTTACGAAACGCTAAAGTAATACCAATATTTAAAAAGTGTGATAAACAACTAATAGAAAATTATAGGCCAATAACTATCATTATTAACCTATCTAAAGCATTTGAAATATCTTTATACTTTCATATCTTCGAACGTGTAAAAATTCAGATTTCTGAGAAGCAGAATGGTTTTTACATGGGACGGTCAACCACATCAAATTTATTTTGTATTGCTCAAAAAATTTCTCATGGTTTCAACAATAACACACAGGTCGATGTAATATACGCCGACTTTATAAAAGCTTTCGATCGTATTGATCACAATCTATTGGTACATAATCATTTTGATTTTCACAATTTGATAACTTTTTTTGAGACCTATCTACTAAACCGATCTCAGTATGTTGAATGCCACAGTCATACTTCAAGAAGCTACGTGGCTACATTAGGTGTACCCCAAGGTTCTGTGTTGGGTCCACTACTCTTTAACCTATTTATAAATGACATTGTAAACGAGTTGGATGTAAATTGCCTTTTATATGCCGATAACATGAAATTGTATAGCGTTAACAAATCACCAGATGACTGCAACACGTTGCAGGTAGCACTTGATCGAGTGCATACCTGGTGTGTTGAGAACAATCTACAATTAAATGCTAATAAATGCTGCATCGTTTCATTTTCCCTTAAACACAATGTTGTATAATATCATGATTACGCAATGTCTGATATATTTGTTCCCAGAGCCTCTGAGTTCAAGGACTTTGGTGTAACATTTGATAGTAAACTTTCTTTTAGTTCACATGTTAATAGAATTTCCAATGAAGCATTTAAAATGTTGGGATTTGTCATCATAAATACCAAGAACTTTAAAGATATTTATACGCTGTTACTAATATATTATTCTTATGTGCGCTCTAAACTAGAATATGCCTCAGTTATATGGTGTCCCTCACATGATATTTACATTACCACATTAGAACGAGTACAGCGTAGGTTCTTGAAATATTTGAGTTTTAAAGAAGATGGTCTCTATCCAGTTATTGGATACCTCTACATAAATCTCCTTAGCAGATTTTGTGTAAAATCACTTGAAGATAGGCATGACATTGCAGGGTTAATTTTTACTCACAAAGTCAAGAGTGCACCTTGTGACTGCTCCAAGGTCTTAAGTATGATTAACTTTCTTGTACCTAGAATTACGTCTAGAGTAAATTCCTTTTTCTATTTACCAACTGCGGGGACTAATATACAAAATCACTTACCTTTCTATAGAATTTGCAACTGCTATAATAAAATTGGTTCATCACTTGATATTTTTTCCTGCAGCATTGCTTCAATAAAACGTATAACGACTACTTAATATACAGGGTGTTTCAAAAAGGTATGTCATAACTTCTTCCTCGGATAGAGTACCAAAAAATAAGTGGATTTGGCTACATTTACCTTTATCAAAAACTGGCTCTCAACAAAGTTACAGGGCGTCAAACTTACATTCAGAAAAACGTTTTTTTTTTTTGTAAAAAGTTTGTTGTTGCGATTTTTTCTTTAAAATGTTTGCCATTGCTGTAGATTTGAATGCCCAATATTATAAAGAGAAAAAAAAAAATAAAGCGACCCCTTTAAAAAAAGTTGGGGGTTGGGTACCTTCTAACCCCCCGTATTTTTTTTGTCATAAAGAAACTTGCTATATCGATCTTAAAATTAAAAAGAACTAAGAATTTTTAATTTTTTTTTATAGCAAAATGAACTTTGTATCTTCCTTAGTTAACGAGTTATTTACAATTTTCTAACTAAATTTCTAGAGCAATTCGTCCGTCCTGAACTTAACATATCAACAAAACTAAGAGTAGATCAGGAGTTATTGTACAAAAACACGCATATACAAATCAGTGGTGTGTCTAGGGCTGTACTTGAGCCGCCCCTACAAAAACTACCTCTTTTATTTATATTTTTGTATTCAAGAAGCAAGAGGACATGTTGAACATTTACTAAATTAAATAGTTCATAAAATATGTATAATAATTATTGTCAAGTGTTTATTTTTAATTGTTAATTTTTTGTTAATTGTTTAAACAATAAAATAATTTTTTTAATTACTATTAAATTTAATAAATACATTTCCAAACTAACGTGTATTTTTATCTGTGGCATGGTGAACCTATGAGGACGGGTGGCACACCATTTTTTTTACAAAAGTATAAATAAAAGAGGTATTTTTTGCAGGGGCGGCTCAAGCACATCCTTAGGCACACCACTGATTTTTATATGCGTCCAGAACGGACGAATTGTTCTAGAAATTCAGTTAAAAAATTGTAAATAGCTCGTTAACTAAGAAAGATACAAAGTTCATTTTGCTATAAAAAAAAATTAAAAATTCATAGTTCTTTTTGATTTTAAGATCGATAAAGCAAGTTTCTTTATGACAAAAAAAGGGGGGTTAAAAGGTCCCCAACCCTCCAACTTTTTTTAAAGAGGTCGCTTTAATTTTGTTTTCTCTTTAGAATATTAGGCCTTTAAATCTACAGCACTGGCAAAAATTTCAAAGAACAAATCGCAACAGCAAACTTTTTACAAAAAAAAAAACGTTTTTTTGAATGTTAGTTTAACGCCCTGTAACTTTTTTGGGAGACAGTTTTTGATATAGGTTAATATAGCCAAATCCACTTATTTTTTGGTAATCTATATGAGGAAGAATTTATGACATACCTTTTTGAAACACCCTGTATATTGTGTACTTATTTGTCAATATGTTTTATTATTTTTATTTTTTTTTTGTATAGTTACCATTTGTTCATATTTGTATTTTTACAATCTGTAAGTTTTCCTACCCTGTAATTGGATTTATCTGTTGGGTAGTGTAATAAAAAAAAAATGAGAGTGAACTTTAATGTTGAGTTGAAAAACTGGCTGTTTGTATTTTGTTTTAAAATTGTTGTATACTACATATCTTTTTCTACTTGACTTTTTCAATATCATGTAAATGGTCTCAATGAAATAAAATATTATTATTAATATTATTATCTCTCTTAGATTTAATTGCTTGCTTTAACTTTAATCTCTTTTCATTCTTACTCTTTGGACATACTTTATATGTGGCTATAGAAAAAATAAATTAGTTTGAATCTACACAACTTCGACAAATTGTGCGTCTGCATAACACATGTTAAACATATCTCCATGTTTAGAACCCGACAACTCATATCCAAACTTTCCTTATCTATTCCGTCCCAGTTTTCAGTTCCTCGTTTCGCAGATGGGGCCGTTCGGACGGAATAGAGTCGGTCCGATGTCATCTATCAACTCAAAAAATCAGAGGACAACGTAATTGAATTAGAAAAACGGGCGCCGTCGTCGTCGTAGTCAGAGCAAACTGTGATCCCTTATTTGAAAGTTATTGCTTTTCTTTTCGGGGACGGGCGAACAGCAAATTTGGCAATTTCGCAGGAAGCCTACATTAGAATGGACACAATTTATTGAGACGACTCGATCTCGATAAGGGGCTGGATTGTAATAAATTCGGATACAGTTTTTTTGTCTACGCATTTTTGCATACAGGGCTGGTTGCTGGCTTTGCATTAAAAAGAGGAAGAATAACGATTGTGGTTAGAATTTATTTAGGATAGAATAAGAAAAAAACAGGAAGTTTCTTACTAGCACGAAAAAAATCACTAACTGTTAGCGAACTTTTACTTACCTCAAATAAAAAGTTGTATACTATTATATGGGTGTAATAAACGCAAAAGACCTTTAGTAAGGCTTTAATGAACGAAATGACAATTAAATAAAATATGGAAACATCAAACTACTATCAAATAATAAGACTTCATGAACTATGAAGTGTACTAAATAATATCACATTCTTCCCAC